GTAGGTTATATGGACTTTATCTTATCTGGCAGTCTCTTTCTGTATTACATAATTTGTATTTCCATAACTTTGAAAAGAATGGTTTCTTTTGCTTAATAGATCTTTATGGATTGAAATGTTCATGTCTGTGAATTTACTGAATAAGACTGTTTTAAACTGTCTTTTGGATGAAAGTTTGAAGAATAAGCAATATTGACTGCCAGTGTAATTATCTTGAAAGTTAAATTCCACAATGATATATTTTGAAGCTATGCAAAAAATATAAAATTGTAATTTACCCTTCCTTTTAAGGATTTTTTTTACATATCTCATAAAGTAGCTATGTATTGTGGTTAAGTAGAATGAGAATAACAGAGTACATGAGCTCTTTGGTTTATGGCCAGGTAGGTGTGTCTTAGTGGGATGCAAGGTGTGGGTGGGAATTCATGAAGAACTTATCTAATAGGTTCCACACATTGTAGACAAGCTATCAGACAATGATAGGCACACTGAGGAAACAACCATGAATATTATATATGTATTTCAGGTGCCAGGGAAGGTGTGTCCCCAACAACTTACACATTTTCCTCATTTGCTTGGTTGGATCATCTTGCAAGAGAGCTCTTGGCCATGTCTTTTTTTATACTTCAAAATTAGGAATTAAAATATAAATCTTGGAAAAGAAAACAAGCTTTACCTCTGTGCCGCACTTTGCAACTCACACAGTATATCTCACAGCTATAATTTGGAAGCTCACAGACACAGAGGAACGATCAGACCCATGGGGTAGTGAAGGATGTCACAGAGTCCCAAGGTGTTGGAAATGGAGAATCCACAGTTCATATACATAGTCCTGTGTCTTCCTGTTAAATACCCAATAACCAATGCCTTGTGAACGTTCTCTAGGTGATAGAGAATATTAGACATCTGAAGAGACAGCGTCATGGGGGAACGGAAAAGATCCACTAAAGCACTATTAGACTGAGGGAAGACGAAGTCAATAGTGACCACCGCATTTTTTACTATGAAATTCAGTCTATGACCTTGCACAATGCACTTTCTATCTTTATCTTTCAGTGGGTAATTCAGCATTTGAGAAGGTATTACTTCCCAAATGGATCACACCATGCCTCCCAGTAATGTTACTGAATTTGTTCTCTTGGGACTCACACAGAATCCACACTTGCAAAAAATACTCTTCGTTGTCTTTTTGTTCATTTTCTTCATCACTGTGCTGGCCAATTTGCTTGTGGTCATCACCATCTCACTAAGCCCCACCCTGTCTGCTCCCATGTACTTCTTTCTCACTTACTTGTCCCTCATTGATGCCTCCTACACCTCGGTCACAACCCCAAAAATGCTTATCGATCTGCTCTACCAGAGGAGGACCATTTCTTTGGGTGGGTGTCTGATGCAACTCTTTGTAGAGCACTTCCTGGGGGGCTCTGAGATCATCCTCCTCATTGTCATGGCCTATGACCGCTACGTGGCCATCTGCAAGCCCCTGCACTACATGACCATCATGAGGCAGGGCCTCTGTCGCCTCTTGGTGGGAGTGGCCTGGATGGGAGGGATTTTGCATGCCACAGTGCAAATTCTTTTCATGATCCACCTGCCCTTCTGTGGACCCAATGTCATCGACCACTTCATGTGTGACCTCTTTCCTTTGTTGAAACTGGCCTGCAGAGACACCTATCTGCTGGGAACGGTGGTGGCAGCCAACAGTGGAGCCATGTGCTTGCTCATTCTGTCCATGCTGCTTGTCTCTTACGCAGTCATCCTGAATTCCCTGAAATCCCATGGCTCTGAAGCACGGCACAAAGCTCTCTCCACCTGTGCCTCCCACTTCACTGTCGTCATTCTCTTTTTCGTACCTTGCATATTCACCTACATGCGTCCTGTGGCTACCTACCCTGTGGACAAGTTGGTAACTGTGTTCTTTGCAATCCTCACTCCCATGCTGAATCCTATAATTTACACAGTGAGAAACACAGAGGTGAAGAGTGCCCTGAGGATTTTGTTGAAGTGGAGAAGCACTTAGCTCATTCTCAAAGCCAGGAAAAGGATGAAGAACAAAAGAGGATAGCTACCTTTGTAGTGGTGCAACATAATCAATATGTTGTACATTTTATTGACATAGAGAAAAATAAAAAGGAAACAGCATCCCTTCCTAGTAACTGTGATTATTAAAGACTTAGTACTAGCTAGGTGTTTTTGATAGCATCCTTTGCCAGGTGTATTGCCCAGGCTTTGATCGACATGTGTATAGACTCAGGATATGAAATAGAAAGAACCGTGGATCTGCAGCTTGAAGATTCTGAAACATGCTGTACTCCAGAGTTTTCCTGCCACTTGACTAAATTCTTCCTACATATTTTACTTGGCCAAACTTGGCTTCTCCACAGAACCAGATCTCTGAACCCTTCAATGTTTTGCTTGACTGAGGCAAAATGGAAAAGAGGGTGGAATCCTTTGGAACAAAGAAACAATTTCTAACCTAAGAAAAAAACAATTACTAACCTGTCTGTAAATTGTTTTCTGGCACACACACACACACACACACACACACACACACACACACACAGGCTAAGAATTTTGAAATTCCTCTTATTATGTTATTTTCTTAAATATCCACATGTTCGCCTCAATTTTTCTTGAATGTAACAGCAAGGGTTTTCGTCCCTGATTAATTTTTGAGGTACATTTTGTAGAAATAAGAGTAACTTATACTTAATCTCACTAAATGAAATTTGCTAAGCTTGTAGAGCTATTACTTCTGAATGTGTGGTGCATGGATTTATGTTAAATTTTTATATTGTATTTACTACAGGGTTTCACTCTGCAGCTTGGACTTATAGTGATCCTCCTGTTTTCAGCCTGCCCAGCACTGGGATTACAGGCATGCACTATTACTCCCGGACTGGGTCACTGGTTCAGCATGCCAGGGGCAGGGATGGTGTGGCATGCTACTTGTGTTTGCCTAAGCAGGTGCTTAGTCCACTGGGCTATCTCATCAGACCTTAAATTGGTATTTTAACATCCAATGGAGGCACTTTAGTTAGATGATTTAGTTCACATATAAAAAGAGTTACTTTCAATATTGCTGTCTCCAATTTGCAAAGAAGCAAATTAAAACAAACAGAGATGACCTAACATGTTTTTGAGGTGCACATCTTAGAGTTTCAGCTACAAAATCTAAATCCAGGTCTTTGTTCCAACTTTCAGTTTTACTTTCATCACGTAAAACACAGTTCTTCCTATGTGTATGGCTATTGGCAAGTAATTTATACGTAGTCCTAAGATTCACTTTGTATCTAGAGAATGATATCGCCAAGTGTGCTGCATGTTTTTTCTCATATACTAGGGTGTTTCAGCAGGCATGTTCTGTGTAAACAGAACACATCAGTTCTTTTATTCTGCTACATTCCACTGTATGCCTCTTTGCTGACTGCACACTCTGAATTTACATTTCTCACAAAATGTGCCTTTCACAAGCTCACTATTATTTGGACCTATTTCTCCCACAATTAAGCATATTTTAGTGCTTGATCCTGGAATACCTGTCTTTTAGGAGTGAGTGTATGTTCTGGGTTACGCATGGATGTCTCAAAGTCAGACATCCCTTTGAAACAAAACAACCTTTTCCTACAAAGCCTAGTTTCAAAAGATTATAGAATCAAAGCATAAACTATGAAAATGATCAAGCTTGCAATTCTTGGTGAAAATTAAGCATTTCCAGAGAATGGGACTGTATGAGTTTTGATTCTTTTTGTGCAATGTTTGTTAGAAGGAAAGGGTGTGCCAGGAAGGATGGGAGAAAAATTGAGACAGTGTCATTTCTTCTAGAAGAAAAAGGATATGAGGAAATAAACTGAGGTCCCATGATGGTGTTATGGGGCACACCAACTACTCAGTGACTGCTAATGTTATTGACACAAGTGACAATTTATAGACAAACTTGGAAAAGTTAAGAACTTGAAAATAGGGATATCAGTAAGCCTGACTTTCTCAGTGGATGAATTCCTGTCTATTTGTAGATAATCTTAAGAAATTTGTTGTTTTGCATCTCTTCTTCATAACACCACTGAAACTCAATGCCATCTTATTATTTCTAGTGCTTAGAAAAGTAAATAACCTAGAAGAAAGTATGTAATTTTTCCCAAAAAATATAAAATTAAATAATTTGGTGTAAAAGGATATTGATTAACATGGATATTCTCATTTTTGTTATTACTCTTCAAAATAAAATAAAATTTAAAAAATGAAAATACTAGGCATGAGCAAAGTGAATGAGCAAGTAACGGTTGAGGCCTGCTATGGTGCACACAGATTGCTATATTCCTTCTATATTTTGACTTGCTTAGTGCAGCAATGGGCACAAATTTGATGAGTTTGTCATATTTGATGTGTTTGGCGTTTTATACAAAGAGAATGTAAATCTGAGTGCGGTGGTGTGTATCTGTCACCCCAGCATTCCTGTAGGTTGAGGAGGTTGGATCACAGATTTGAGCCCACTGTAGGCAAACTAGTGGCTTAGCAAGATTGTGTCTCAAAATAAATAAAGAGGACTGAGGCTCTAGCTCAGTGTAAAGGCCTCAGATTCAATCCCCAGCATGAAGAAGAAAAAGACAAGAAGGGGTAGGAGGAGGAGGAGAAGAAGAAAGCAAGTAAGGAGGGAAGGAAACAAGGAAGAAGGGAAGGAAAGAAGAAAGGAAGAAGAGAACAAAGAGATGGAAAGAAAGAAAGAAGAGAGACAATTAGATAAAAGAACAGGAGGAGGTAGAAGATGTGAATGGGAAGAGGGGAGAATCTCAGCGAGGTTGCAACCTAAGGTTCCAATTCTCCCTCCTGTTCCTTTGTTAAGCACTCTTTGCTTGCAGGATGCAGAACAGCATAGGACTGATCATGAGTCCCACTGGGAATCTCCTCTTGAGGCTGCTTCCCTTACTCCAATTTGCTGGGTAGAGGCACTCTCTTCCATTCAGGTTCTCCTCAGCCTCCATTTCCTGCATTATTCCCACTCTAATTTCCAGTCCTGGGATGGAAATGTCATCTGATTATCTCCGTCTGCATATGCACACACATCACAGAGAGTAGAATGTGATGGGACTTAAAAAAGAATAATTAATGATTAGGTGTCAGTAAAATCAACACATGGTTGGCAGAAAGCAAACTACTTCATCATAGAGATAATTTGATCCCTTTTCTGGGCATAAGGTTGGGCTCTTGAAATGTTAGCTGTTGTTTCTAATAGGAGTTAAATATTGCTCTCCCATAGTGTTAACAAATATATTTTTTGAAAATCAGCTTGCTGATTAGCTAAGTTTAAGAAGTTTTAACTTTATTTATGTCGTATAGTATGTCAGTGGACAATAGAAGGTCATGTTTGCATGGAATTTAGCTTCAATTAAGAAATCTATTAATGGGACCGGGGCAGGGGCTGAGGTGATGGCTCAGTAGAATAAGTGCTTCCCTGGCAAGTGCAAGGTCCTGAGTTTAATCACTGGTTCTGAAAAAAAACTATTAAATATAGCATCAATTATAAATAATAAGAGTGTAGGTAAAAATAAGTTTTAAAAGAATATTTAGTAAAAATGAATACACTGGTATATAACAGGTACACATATAAATAATTTGGTTGTCACAGAAATAA